CGACTTCAAAAAAAGGAGGAGGTTCTCAATTCGACTGTATGTTTTTTTTTGTATGTATGTTACGCGATAACTCCGGTATTTGTAAACCGATTTTGATGATTCTTTTTTTGTTGGAAAGAGGGCACCTCCATATTCCAGGTCCAATTTTGAAGAAAATCATCCACCTCTAGGGGTGGCTGTTCGCGCATTAAGATTCATTTGTATAAATAGCGCCTAAATTTTATAATAAGGAGCAATTATTTTAATGGTTGATTTTGCTATTCTCCAATTCAAGACGTTTTCCTCTCTCAATGTACTTTGAATAGTGAGAACCGATTTTTATTATCTCCTGTGTCAAGTTCAGTATAGTGGCTAACTAGGGGATGAATCCGGGTTTGCGCACTTTCCGCTAACCGATCTCAATAAAACTTGACAAATAGATGTAATTCCATGTACTTTTGAAGTCGGTTTTTTTAGTACTCTGTACTGATTCAGATTTATATCGTGTATATTTGTTTGGGATCATGGGACCAGTAAAGTACACAAAACGTTTGTCTGAAACAAAAAGAGATTTAGTTCAGAATAAATACTTTAATTTTCTATGTTTAACAATCGCGAAAACCTAAGAACTCTACTAAATTAAGGAGCGAAAACACTATATTCGGGTTTATAAGATATTGTGGTTCGGACAAAAATGCCGTAAACCCATAAAAATTGGCTATTACTAGTAATATTCTTGATTTACACATCCAGGTATGTAGTCTGAAGGGATTCCAATTCGTATCAGTTCCGAATCTGAGAAATGACGGTCCGAAATGTCACAGGGATCATTTTAGTAGTAGTGTTGTTTGTTGTTTGCAGACAGACATGACATTAACTATGACCATATTAATGATACCCTCTCTAAGGTAGTTTATTGGTTTAATGCTAATAATGTATTGCTTAATGCCAAGAAAACAAAATGTGTTAAATTTTAATTACCTAACGAAAAATCGATTAGTCCAAGCATAGAAATAAACGGAGAAAAGTTAGACCTTGTTAATAAAGCAGTCTTCTTGGGAGTGGACCTTAGATAGTAAACTTCAATGGTTTCCACATATATCTTCCCAGGCCAGCAGATTAAGCTCCGCTGCATACGCAGTCCGCAGAATACGTGAGCTTACCGATGTTAGTACTGCTAGACTAGTTTACTTTAGTTACTTCCACAGTATAATGTCCTACGGGATTCTCATGTGAGGTAAAGCGGCAGATATTCAAACCATATTTGTATTGCAAAAACGAGCGATTCGTTCTGTGTACCGTCTAGGCTCTCGGGTTTCTCTCAGAGAAAAGTTTAAGGAGACTGGTATCATGACTGTGGCATAACAGTACATTTACTCAAATATTTTATATGCCCGTAAAAATATACATAATTTCAATAAGAAAGAAGGTATCCATAATATTAACCTTACAGCTAAGTTCAAACTCATGGTACCACGATTTCGTTTAACCAAGGTAAACAACTCTTTTATGGGGAACTGTATACGTTTTTACAATAAGATTCCGGAGCATATATTAAGTTTATCATTTCCTAAGTTTAAAAACTACATTAAAAATATTTTGATCGAAAAACCATACTACAAAATTGAAGACTACGCTTTAGATAAAGATGTATGGAAAGACGACATGGCTCCAGAATCCACACAAATTTGATTCAAAGTGTATTCCATAGCATTTAAGTTTATTTGAAAAGAGCAATCCCTAGAGTTTCTTGCTCGTTCTTCTCAGGGAGGTCAGCGTAGTGAACGAGCAGTAGCTTAAATGTGACGTTTTCAAGTGTAAATCTATTTTACCTATGGAATAAATAATCTTTGACTTTGACTTCGACTTTGACTTTATCTCTAGGTGTACAAGCCATATTCGTATTTTCTCTGATTCCGAAGTAACATCCGACATCCAAAATAAATCCGAGTTTTCTAGATTTGTAGTCTCGGATTCGGAATGAAAACGGATCGGATGCAGTGCGTAAATGCGCTAACGGTTTGATATACTGCCTCTCAAGTAAAGGCCGAGGGTCTGATTCGGGCTCGCACCTCTGAGCATCAAAAAAGCTAATTGAGTACAGCCTGCAGAAGCTGGGGTTATAAATTTGTCCTGTACTTCGCTTCAGATGTTTGTTCGTAGTAGTAGAAAACTACAAGTTTTCAGTTTGTTCCTAAAAATAATAAAGGACTTGCTGAATTCCTAAATCTGCCAAACTTTGCCACATTTAATACAACGTTAACATGTTCTATCGCAATGAAAATGAAAAATTAAATCTACCCAAATGGCATAAATCTGCTACAAATGGTCACACTGTTCTCAATCTCAAAGTGACATTGACTATAGTAAGAGGCCTCTTGACAAAACGTTCCTTTGCTAACTTTCGTATCTCTCATTTAAATATTGTCTAAGCACTTTTATCACATTGTGTTTTATTTTTTACTATAAGTCATTATTGTTTTATTGATTATTTGATTAGGTATTTTATAGCTTTGATGTTTATGTGTGTACTATAAAATAACCAATTCTTTAAGTAGGTAAACATTCAGTCATGCTTAGAATGAAATGTACGTACAAGAACGTTACCTAGTCTATAGTCGAACTGAATTAATTGCTTTATGTTCTTTCATCTATTCTAAAATTATATAGCAATTTCTTAATCCCGACTTCTACAAATATACAAAAATATATTAATAACTATGCATAAACTAAAAAGTAATTATACTCGCAAAGCCCATGAACTTCGTTGATTTTGGGTCAGCTTTCACCATCCTTCTTTCCTTCTCAAGGTTCACAAAACTCGAAAAATGTGTAAAGTTCCCAACCCGCATTGGGCCAGCGTGGCGGACTGTGACCTAAACCCTCGTTTCCTGCAGTGGGATGTATAAATGGACGTAAAAATATTGTTGTACAGAATTGTTTTTAACTTATTACTATACATCGCCACAGCCACCCCTCTTTGTTTAATTTGTCACATAAATTGAATTCGGCCAAAAGTTAATTTGATGAAAGAACGAAATTTAGTAGTGCACGATTGTGCCACTTCACACTAATGTTGATTCGTACCATTGAGTCAAGTTTTATATGGTTTTCGTTACTGATATTGCCGAAGTTAAACGGAACTGGAGAGGTCTAAAGTTATGTTTAACAAATTTTATTAGATTTTATGAACGGATATAAATGAAACTTTATATAGGTTTATGGTAGGAAATTATATATTAAAATTCAAATAACATCCCCGTTACACTTCTTAAAAGACAAAAGGGATGGTAAATATAATTACTCGCATCCTTAAGAGTTGAGGTTGTATAACCTCAATTCGTTGATTTCGCATAGCAGTGAAAAGCTTGAATCAATGACTATGGAATAATTGAGGATATATACTGATTATACTACACGGTGAGAACACGATTCCTAAAAACGTTCACCATAGAACAAAAAAACACAAACTTACCTCGAAATTTGACAAGAAAACCGATGTATTCAATATCACTTTACATATACCAATGATTTTTTTTATATCAACTAAACTAAATAGAACACGTATTATACTATACGATTTAAATTTTTCAAATAGCTTTTATTTCGTTTGAAAAAGAAAATTAATTCTGAAATAAAGACTGTGTATCTACCGCTCGACTCGAGCAAAATGAACCGTATTAGTACGGGAAAAATTTTAATTAGAGCTGAGATAGTATTGTAGTCTAGGCTTTACTCTATGAGTAGAATCACTGGCTGAGTGAATATAGTTTTGTAGTTAGAATGTTTAGCTTGCTTAGGATGCGTAGCGAGAGGTACTTTTGTGAATATAAACTGGGATAATCTTCAAAGCTTGCTTTATTGCACTTTTCTACATATTTTCTAATTCAGGTTACATCTCGAACTCTCAAGATGTTCTGTTCTTTCTTATTCCATTTTTCAAAATACATTCTAAATACAAAACTATATTCACTTAGCCAGTGATTCTACTCATAGAGTAGAGCCTAGACTACAGTATCGACTCTTAATAAGGCCAGATCTGCAAAATGAAATTAGTCGTTAACTGAAGTTAACCTTAAATTGAAGATAATTATTAATACAAAGATCAAACATTAAGAAAAATTCCTACGATCTAGCTGGATTAGAACCAGCGCCTTTAGCATACCGTGCGAGACGCTCTCCCAACTGAACTACGGAATGAACCAGCAGACTTTACGAATTTTCGTAATGCTTGTAGCAGGTCCTTGTTTTTGGTTTTTAACGACTTTTTTTATATATGTTTCATATCTAACAACCGTCTTTTTTCAGAAATATATCTTAATGTCTCGACTTCCGAGGGTAAATGGTAATCGAACCTGAGGCTTTTTAATTCTTAAATCTCAGCTGCGGAGCCAGTCATCTTGCAGAAATTTTGGAGGTGGGACTGGGCCAATGCGTCTGACGTCATACAGTAATGCCCGCCGTCGCTACACTCCAGGGTTATAACTTATTGCCCTGCAATTGCATTAAGCGTTTTCGAAGGGAATTGTAGCAAGCCAAAACCACCCCAGTGTCAAAGCTGGGTGTACAGTTATTTCGTTCCAATGCCTGTGGTTAAAATAAGCTATCACCAAATCGCTATGGTAATGCACCGATGCATAGTCTGCAAACGCAGCGTTGCTGTCAAATAAACGCTTGTTTAAATATTCGTTTAGTCTTAACGTAACTATTGTAAGTTTTAATATTGGTAGGCAGTGGGGAGTTTTGTGATCAGTAGCTTCTTAAACTGCCTTAAGCAATCTACGCCCAGCACTGATGGCTGGGAATTATGAAACTTAGTGGAAGTATAAGAAATATAAAAACTGATATATCATAAAAAATAAGGAGAACTTTAACATCTGGCTACACTTTTAAAAGTGATTGTATGAAGAGAAACACAACATGGGATATTCTCTGACCAGAAAGTTATGAATATGGACTGATTGGCAAAAACCCCCATTGCTCTACAAATAGCACCAATCACCAAAAGCAAAATACCTTACCTAGTAAAGAGAGCTGCAAAGAACCAAGCCAGAGCGCAAATAAGGGTGGCACGAGTCTTCGTACACACGTATCCCGCTCGTAATGGCTCGCAGATGGCGTAATACCGCTCGAAGCTGATCGCCAAGATTGTCAGCACTGACGCGTGCGCTACCGTCAGCTCCACAAATGGTACTGCTAAACCTGGAACAGAGAAAATATATATTTCAATTTTACCTATACATTGATAAAAATTTTATTGAAAATTGGCACACGGATTTCTGGTTTTCGTGTATTTGCTTTATTGACTCGATATTTATTACTTTCATTCGTTCATATCACTCAGTACTGAAGTGTCCTTTAGGATATCTGAGGAGGAACCATTAATCGTATCCATTTGGATGCTATGGATTGGACAGTGAACATAAATTCGTCCCGTAATTGTCATCATTCGTACTTTTCTTTTTTTTTCGTGATCATCAAGCGCCTAGCACATTTATGATTGTATGATGCACACAGCCTGCCAGACATCGAGTACATAACCAGAAATAGCGACGTAATAAAGACCATCCATCCCTGGCAACTCATCAGGCAAATGGACCTTATATCACTTTTAAATATCAACCCTCGTTTGCACTGAAATCACAAATTAGAAAGCTGTAATAGTACAGCGCCAATAACTGACCTGTGTGTACGTCTCCGTATATTCGAAAATATTCTGTCTTTTTTGTAATAAAGATAATATCTCTAACAATGAGGGGCTGTTCTATTCAGTGGTGTGGGAAAAACAGCATAACATCTAATTACAAAGAAACGGAATCACATTTCATCGGCAATTAAATATTAAATATGTAATTTTTCCATTTTCGTCCATTATAGCAAAGCTCGTTCTATCAAAGTTAAACTGGTCGATTTGAAGTGAAACAACAAATAACGCACACACTCAACATAGCCCCGCACTAGGGAAACCCTGTGTCGCGGGTGCCATGGACACACACATAGACAACCACAAATTACACCCAAACTCACGAGAGAAATAATTGTAGGCCATACAACTATTTCTTCCGGCCCGGGAATCGAACCTGGAACCTCTGCGTGGCAGTCCGGTATGGTAACCATTCGGCCACGAAGGTAGTTAAATTGACGACACCTGGCAATTGTTTCGAATTCGGGCTGGCCAATCAGAGCGCAGTTGTCACCGTAATGATTTGGCAGAATAGTTTTCAAACAAATTAAATGACATTTTGTCTATGTCTGGTTATATACTCGATACTTCCAGCTGACATTACAGTCACACAAAAACTTTTTCCTTGCTTCGCCACTCATCTATTCGCTTTTGTAATGCTCTAACATGTCATTAAGAATTATGGAGTGAAACCTAAGTCTATTTCATTTAAGGAGACTGTGGCCCCATTAGCTTCATCTGTAGAGTCTCGGTTGACTTATTTTTTTATACTATTCAAACCGGCAAGCAGTCATATTAATGTTGTCGACAGTCCTACAATTTAACTGTAGTGGACTTACAAATCTTATAATTTTATTTAGTTCACCTTTCTGTTATACATTCAAAAGTGAATTGTACTTATTTTTAGTGCGTTTTTACTGTTGTATTTTGAATATCGTGTAAGTCGTGAAGTAGATTCGTTTATACAATTAGCCTGGATTTGCTCAGCACCTTCTTACAATGCGCTATAGACATCTAATTGCCAGTCCTCATTTAATGTTTATCAGTTATGCTCGTAATGTATTTATTAACATTACATTACATATAAAGTACCTGAGCTATGGGAATTGACATCAGTTATGTGCCAAATATGGCCAGGTTTTCAGAGAATCCTGTACAGACGAACTTTCTAACAATCGCATCAATATGATCAAAAGCCTTTTCAAAGTCATAATAAGCTAAGTACGTCGATTTGTCTTGTGGAATCCAGTTAATCAGCAATAGTTGTATAATATTAAAAACATTGGAAACAATATAGCCGATTGAATCACTGTGAGTCCTTGCATAAATAACAATTATAAAAAATCAATAAAATGTTTATTAATAGTTGTTGTTGCTAAACGTGGGTTGCGGTGTGGCGAATACACGCACGGAAATGTAGTTACTTAACTTCCACAAACTTTTAAATACATTTATGTTTTATCACTTTTAATTGTAGCGTAATAAACCACTGACAGAAACTGTTAGTGGTTTATTACAAAACGTTCCGATACAGAAGGCTAATCCATGTTTTATTTAATAAAATGTACATAATCACACTTGGCCAAAACAAAACTCGCATTTAAGCGCCTTCGCGGAATTTTGGTGATATTCTTTTACGTCCCAAAGTTCAATTCTCGGCGTAGGTCGTTTTAAGGTGAAGTGATATCCAAAGTAGACGTTTTGACATATTTCAACCATACGGATAATCGCTTATTCAACGTTAGTAATCTTAGTACAGAGTACTAAAAAAACCGACCTCAAAAGTCATACTTTCCCTAGTTTGCCACCCTTACAGGTGGATAATTTTCTCCAAATTTAAATGGGACTACTACTGAGGTACCTTTTTTCCAACAAAAAAGAATCACCAAAATTGGTTCACAAATTCAGGAGTTATCGACTAACATACATACAAAAAAAATATACAGTCGAATAGAGAAGCTCCTCCTTTTTTGGAGTCGGTTAAAAAATACGAAATTAGCTTGTTTTTTTTAAATGGTATTGAAAACAGAATATATTGGTAGTGAACTATATTTTTTTTACTTGTACCTTGACAGAGAAGACTGCCTATCGATGACGCCTCCAGTCTTTTATGCTCTAAGTCAATTGTATTAGCGACAAACAGTTTTCAAAACGATGCCACAATGAAAAAACAAATGTCAATCTCATAAAGTAAAATGTAACCTAGTCACGGAGAGTTCCTTTTTCAAATTTCGTATTTGTTTTTTTTTCTAGTTTCTTTCACAAGTGGCCAATTCCAGGAACTTTCAGTATACCTCACGTAACGTTATAATCCTTCTCATGAAAAATTTGGCTTATTGCAGATACGCGCCTTTTATCAATACTATCTTCATACGCGGATTTGCATTATCCCCGACGATATTTTGGTATGATGCCATGTAAACATAAGTCACTCACTTGAATTCCAATGGAATGTTGAAAATACACTTTGTTGATTAACTTAACTTTATGTATTTAAAGTACGTATACAAGTTCTCTTTCCATCTTGGAAGCTGTTGCCCGCCTGTTGTCTCACTGTTTTGAGTGATACTTGTAAGCTCCTGTTTGCTCACCATTTGTGCGATTAATACTTCTTTTGTTTTTGTTTGTGCAATTAAGAATATACAGTGTTCTTTTATTAATTGGAACAGTATGGGGAAATCCAAAACTATACGAGATATAGGAATACTGTAATATATACATACTTCCTGTAATACATAATTTCAATAAGAAAGAAGATATCCATAATATTAACCTTAGAGCTAAGTTGAAACTCATGGTACCACGATTTTGTTTAATCAAGGTAAACGAATCTTTTATGGGGAACAGTATACGTCTTAACAATAAGATTCCGGAGCATATATTAAGATTATCATTTCCTAAGTTTAAAAACTACATTAAAAATATTTTGATTGAAAAGTCATATTACAAAATTGAAGACTACGCGTTAGATAAAGATGTATGGAAAGACGACATGGCTCTACAGATTACACGCAAATTTGATTGAAAGTGTGTTCCATTGAAAAGAGCAATCTCTAGAGTTTCTTGTTCGTTCTTCTCAGGGAAGTCAGCGTAGTGAACGAGCAGTAGCTTAAATGTGACGTTTTCAAGTGTAAATTTATTTTACTTATGGAATAAATGATTCTTTGACATTGTAGTCTTAGGAATCATTAAGTCTTTTTTCGTGAAAACTATTTTGCCATAGTCAATTTTTTGGTCAAGCGTGTTTAATACTTTCTCGTTGACTGACAAGCATTCGCCTGTAATGTAACTTTTGGATTTTAACATTCAATTTTGAACATTACATTATAATATTTACTGGCGAGCATTCGTAGTAACTGTAGTCGAATCTGTTGTTTTGACAATGTCAGACGAAACAGACAAATTAACCCAACCATCTTATTTCATTAACTTATTATAATTATGAGTATGACGAGAATAACATCGTACCCTGAATTCCCTATTTTTTTCAAATAATAGGGTTTTCTTATCTCAGGTTATTCTCCAATTTAACCTTTAAAACAAAAATCGGTATCATGTATACGCGTTCACGCCGCTGCTGATTACAAGCGGTGCGCATTGATGTTACAAATAGTATTACGGGTGTTCTCACTCACTACTGTAATGTTACAAATTCTATCATTACAGGCTGCGTACTGTAATGCTCGGTTTTCCTCACTCACTGATGTAATACTCGAGTTTGAAGTATTACATTACAGGCGAGTGCTTCCGGTGAGTGGCCTCCCTGAGAGTACCGCCGCAGCGGCGGCGGCGTCCTACATAGAAATATCCATTGTGCCACACGGTGTGCTGCGGCGCCGTACGTGCACCGGACTTGCAACCAGCGAGACGAGACGGGGAGAGGAGTACGCGTTGCGACGCCGGAGTGCCAGTGTTGCCATCAATAATATTTAGCTAGTTCTAGCGTTTTGTTGACCGCTAGGCTCTTTTCAGAAACAAAAATTATAACCTGTCAATCAAATACGGTAAATTAGTAATATTCGGCCAATTTTCTAGTCAAACGCTGGTAACACTAATGTAGAATCGGACTGAACGGTAACGGTCTGTAATAAACAAAACAACATCCATTCGTTCGTTTGATGCCTTTCTCTCTCGTTACGATAGGAATGAGGAAGACAAAAACCTATTGATTGAAATTTTTTCACTCGCAGAATGATGAGATGAATACAGATAAGGAATTTTTTCTGAGTGTTCGATCTTTTAATAATAATTATAACAAACTAGTGGAGTAATTTCACAAAAAAAAAAAAATTAATATCAATTCAATAAAAATTTAATGAATATAATAATTTTTTGTTTGTTGTGTTCAAAACTAAATTAAAATAAGTGCTTTTTGGTTCATATTGTCGTGATTATTTGCAATTTTATCATTGACTTAGAATTATATGGACGTCGGGTCCGCGCTAAAAAGTGTCCGAACTTATAGGGCATTAAAATCCTATACAGAGCGTCATTCACGCTTTAGTCTTCGTTTGTTCGA